TGTGATTTAAACAATAATTAAATCGAAATTTATGCTTTTTGCTATCAATTAAGAAAAAGCATAAAAATTTCAACCGAAAATTTCAAAACTCTTTATCATGAAATACAAAAATGCATGCAAGATTTTCAACAAATAAAGGAAAGCAGTCAAGGAACTCGAGACAACTTCTAGCTATTGACAAAAATCTAATCAGCAAAACTGGTAAATTCGGTGCCTACCATGAATACAGTCAAGCAAAGTTGCTATACTTACTAATACTTATTTCAGTAAGTTCATAAATAAGGAAAGAACCAAAAGTAAAGGGCACACACACAAGACAAAATAAGATGAGGAGCTTGATTAGCAGCTCAAAAAAACCCGACTCAAACCCTGACACCAAAAACTCAAAAGTCCAAAATGAATTAAAACCCAGACATGAAAACTAATTTTAAAAAATATATTTAAAATCTCAAATAATTCTTGCATAGAATTTCCAGACCCATCGAATGAACAATGCAAATCCATAATTTCCAAAACTAAACATAGAAGACCAATTCCTTTTCCTTCAATAGATCAGTTCCAAGCAACACAGAGGGGGAAAATACTGAGAACGACATAAATGCAAGTAAACAAGGCTCCAATTAAGCACATTCCATAATCAAAGTTTACCAGTGGGCATAAAATTGGAATACAACCTAAAACATTTTGGAATAAAAAGATAGAACGAGCAATTTATAAAGCAACAGGAATACACAAAACATGAGATAAAAGTGAAGGAGAAAATGTACAAACCGAGGTCAGTTCCAGCTTTCAGTAAAGTTAGGGTTTGCCTACTACAATCAAAATTCCTTCTATAGAACAATAATTTGAAGAAAGAAAAACAAAAATGAGTTTAATAACCTCACAGAATGCTCGATGCGTGTGGGGAGATCTTGAACAAAAAACATAAAAGAACTCGAGAGAAGTGAAAAGCTTACCCTTTCTTAAGTTCTTCTACAGATAAATGGAGCAATGTTTCGAAAGTTCTTGAGATTTTGTTCCTCGCTATGGTCCCAAAAAACATTTAAAAAGAAAAACAAACAAGCAGAAATCCGTAATTCTGAAAAAGAAATTAGGGATTAGGGTGGAGAAAAATTTGTGTGTGTGGGGGGGGGGTTTATAAAACTTTGCGGCGTTTTTCAAACCAAACGCCACTAACGGCTCAACATAAACGTTCCAAACTATTGCGGCATTTGTTAGAAAAACGCCAATAAAAAATGATTCTATTGCAACATTTATTTAGAAACGCCATTAAAGTATTAGGTTTTATCGGCGTTTGTCTAAAAATGCCATAATATATGTACTCTATTGCGGCGTTTGTTTAAAAACGGCACTAAAGAATGATTCTTTTGCGGCGTTTTTTTAGAAACGCCACTAAAGTAGGACTTTGTTGCGGCCTTTGTTTTAAAATGCCACTGAAGTACTTATATGTAGTGGCGTTTGTGAAATAAACGCGGTAAAGTATGAGTTTTAGCCGCATTTATGGGAAAACGCCGTCAATGTTACTATTTTGTGGCGTTTTGGATTAAAATGCCGGGATATGTATAAATTTAGTGGCGTTTGCTTTGAAAACGCCGCGACAAACGCCGCTATATACCTATTTTACTGTAGTGAATATCAATGAATTGCACCACACCAAAAGAATTAGAAAATGGTGCACATCTAGATATAGCGATAAAGCCGTTGGGAGATTTATTAGTACTTCTAAATGAGTTTGTACACATCCTTGTCAAGCTCTTTTCTTATTTAATATCATTTCACATGTTTTTGGATAAAGATTTATATTCTCTTTCCATTAAGAAATAAATTAAACGAATAAAAGATAAATTTATAATAAAAGTATTTATTTTCTCAGTTAAATTTTGTTATTATAACTTCTCTATTTAATTTATTCTGAATTTTGATGAAAGGTTTGCAATAAAAAAATTACTATACAACTAAATATTTACTCAATCAATTAAAACATTCTGTGGCGTTAACAATTACTTACATGAAGATTGTTAAGTTAATTCAATAACAATCAAAGAATTATTTATTAATTCAAAACTGATATTTTATGAATCTAGATTTGGAAAAGCAGGGGTGGAAATCACAAAACGAGTTTAGTAATCATCTAAAGTACGAATCAACGAAATTTTTTTAAAGATTTCAAGGCTTTGTACTATGTTGATAGAAACAATAAGGTTATGCTAGGCATACGAGGTTCAACCCTTCTTATTAGGATGGAGAGTCGCAGTCAGTTAAACTTCCATCGTTAAATGATGATGTTAAAGATGAAAGATACTTGGGAAAAATTCTTGGGAGAATTCTTCCAAGTAGGAGAAAAAACACTCCAAGAAGAAGTCTCATCTTCTTCTTTTTTTATTGGTGTTCATATACCAACTCTTTTTGCATGCTAGTGTCAAGTCTATGATTATCAATGCTATGTATAAGCCAGCTAAGTATAAAATGGCCGCCACCAGTTAGTAGGTTTGGTCCTAGTAAATTTCGCAATTTTATCAGTGTTCTCGTCGATGACTCTCTGGACTGGTGTCAACGTATTTCATGCAAGTATACACATACCATTCAAGTAATGAAATAAAGACTTATAAAGCATCAAATGTCAAACCCACGTACACTAGTTACCTAAAAATCACGACTAATGCAAAAAGTTAGAATTAACAAATGAATTGATTAATGTGATGGAATCGTTAGAAGCAAAAAAATTACAAAATCAGAATTGGATTCAAACATTTGAGGACATTTTCATGATAATAATGAAAGAACTAATAGTATTGTATTACTTAAACTGAAACTCTTAATAATACTAAGACAATTCAAATAATGCAATAAATTATACATCATCATTTGACATAGCATCTTCGCATTCCCGTGTCTGTGACGACATTATACAAGAACTCAAATTTTCAGTGCCTCTAGTGGTCACCTAGTACTTGAAGAGATGGTGTCAAAACTTGCGGCACTCGATAATGCTCTTGCAATTATCGTATGAAATTCGAAGGTTTTTTCCTTCGATGTGATGACAATGCTATTAGAATTGTCACTCTACCTTGATCTCCCTCGATGCTCAAAACTAATTAAAACAAGAAAGGATGGAAAGCTTTAAACAAAATTGAAACTATATTAATAATAAATAAATAAATAACATGTAGATGTTTAACAAGTATCCAATCAATCAACTCTTAATAAAAAAAACAATTATATAAAGGTTTAACAAATGACAAAGCTAAAAGAGAAAACTATCTTAAAACTGTCTGGTCTAACTTGCTATTTCAGATCCTAGCTCATGGCCAGGCAATCACTCCGCGTCAGTGAGATCAGTGGGAGAAAAAAGAAGAAAAAATATAAAGTGGATGAAAATTCCAAAACCAAAATTCATCCTATCACATCAAGTACATGACTGGGTCTTAATAAATTAGAGATGTCAACATAGTAATCAACGGAGTAATTTCTTTGAATTTAAAATATAAAATAGCAACTCTAATAAATTTACCAACTTTTCTTTATGAAATCTCGTAACTAACAAACTCTAGTTTACATTGCATCGAACTGCAGAAGCATTTTCGTACAATCTATTGTGGTGACCAAGTCTTATTCTTCAGCTACCATGAACACACAATATTACGCAACTCTGTCATGACATTGAACTTTAGTAAAATTAGACAAGAAATATTCAAAATTTACTTTATTAGATGTAAAGTGAATTATGATGAAATATGGTGATAAACCTACATATTTACACTAAACTAGCCTAAATCTACGCAAATTCCCAGGTGTAGAGTCAAATTTTATATGTAAGATTTAGGAAATATACCTATGTCGGAACGGTCCTTAAGTTTTTTGAGGTCATTTCGGGGAACGATCCAACTTAATCTTGGGAAAGGTTGGGTTTTAAAATAAATGTAAAAATAATTAAATTTAGAGTCGTAATCTATCTTGGGGTTAAGTTGGTCGAATACCTAAAAATATCTTTTAAAATAATTTTAAGAAAAACAATTTTAAAAGATAAAAAATGATATACGTTTTACCATAAATTCGTTTTGAAAAGGGTTCAAGGTTCAAGAGTCGATTACGTGTGAAGAAGGATTAGCACCCCCACAACGCCCGAAATCGGTACCTAAGCGGTTATATGTCATCTAAATATTGAAATTGGCAAATTCAAATATACATTTAAATTATAATCCTTTTTTATAAAAATATAAGGGGTATTATTTTGTACGAAAAATTCTCGAAATACCTTTCTTGTCAGTTAAGGGGACATTTCCATTTATTCCCCATACAAAATAATATTGCCCAAATTTTTAGATAAAATACATACATTAATTTCATAAAAAATAAATGCATTCGAATATATAAAATATATTATTTTATTCGAACAATTCTTGGAAACACATTCTTGTCTGTTAAGGCGCGTTTCTATAAATTCTTCGATTAAAATAATATTTGAAAATATTACAATTAGCAAGAAATTAACAAAATTGTAAATGATGGATCAAAATAATAAATATGAAAACTTTAGGGATTAAACTATAAAGCTAACAAGATATTGAGGCAGCTATTGCAAATTAAATAAATAACAAAGCATATAATACAAGAATCAAATATTACAAGCATTGACAGTGTAATAAACCCATACGTTTGGGACCAAAATCAAATAATTCAATATTACATGCCGAAAATTAAAACAACCAAAAGTGCATAGCTTACGGTGACCAAAATACAACACACGTAAAAAGGACAGACTAAATCATAAATTTAAGAAACACGAAATAGGGCTAAAATAGAACATGCAGAAAATAAGGAGCTCGAAATATAAAACGAAAAAACTACATTGAGTGACTAAAATAAAATATTACAAAACATGAGACCCTTCTCTCTTAAATAACCCATGTGTTGATTTTCTGAAAACCCTAAGGCCTTAAAATGACGCCTTTTTGAGTGGGGTTTAAATACCCCCTTATAGCTTTTGGGGAAAATCTAAGCCCCATTTCATCCCTCAATCAAAAATAAAGAAAGAAAAAGAGAGAAAACTATCTCAAATTACTCTCATCGGGGAAGAAAACAACCTCTCGACGGTGGTGGCCCACGGTGCCCGGAGGAAGTGAAACCCTCCCAAAAGCTCCCTCTCCTCTTCATTAACTCATATTTGAGTCCTGATCACTGAGAAAACCCCTAGAAGCCTAGATCTAAGGATTTACCTTCGGGTAACTCAAACCTCCAACGACTTCTTGGCTTCCTAGTGACCGATGACAAAGGTAGACTTTCTACTCTCTCATTTTCTTCTTCTCTCGAACCTAACCCCACTTCGAACCCCACTATTTTCGAACCGAACCCTTTTTCTAGTTCTCTTTTTTTTAATATGGTTCGAACTTTTTTTCCAATTCCCCGAAAATCTTCTCTTATTGTTCGATTTTTTCCCTCTCAAACTGAATGCTCTCTGTTTTTTGTTTCTATCTCCCCCCCCCCGAAAAATAATGCTTCATGTTGTTTTTATGGTTGATTTCAGACAATAACAATGGGTTGTTGGTAGGGGCATGGTTTCTTTGCTAATATCCCAGATTTGGAGGGATTTTCGATTTTTATATTGGGTTTTTTTTCAGATTTGGTTGTTGATTGATTTGTGTTTGCTACTGTTGATGTGAAATGATGATGATTGAACAGTGGCGATGATGGAAAGGAGCGGTCGAAACAGTGGCAGCGAAATCGACGACAGAAGACGACACTCATGGCTAACAGCGACGGCGGTTGAAACCTTAGGGTTCAAAAACCCTAAAACATATGGGATAAAGTTTGGGCTAAGTTCATTTGTAATTGGGTTGGTTTGAGCCTAGATCATTTTGGTCTGTAAAAAATATATAATATAAATTAATAATATAAATAATAATATTAAATATTAATAATAACCTGGACAAAAATGGGTATCTACAACCTACACATACAACTATAAATTCACTCAAATGGACACAAATTTAAATATTTAATCACACATATTATAAATGAGTTTACAATATATCTCGAATATTCGAGTAAATATGTTAATATGATTAGGGTTATTCTTAATTTCCAATATTTTTATTAATTAAAAGTTGATATTATGTGAATCTAGACTTTAAAAATCATGGGTGGAAAGTAGCAAACAAGTTTAACAATCACCTTAAGTGTTAATCAACGAAAGAATTCTAAAGACTTCAAAACATTGTACTATGTTGATGGGAACAAGGTTATGTCAGTCGTGGCAGGTTCATCCTTTCTTATTGCCGTGAAGAGTTGCAGTCAATGAAACATTGATCGTTAGATGATGATGTTAGAGATGAAATATATTTAGAAAAAAATGTTGAGAGAATGCTCCAAAATAGAAGAAAAAATACTCCAAGAAGAAGTCCATTCTTCTTTTTCTTATTGGTATTTATATACAGACTCTTATTGGTATTTATATACAGACTCTCTTTGCATGCTAGTTTTAAGTCTACGGTTATTATTGCTATGTATAGGCAACAAACTGTAAAATTGCAGCCACTAGTTAGCAGGTTTGGATAAATCTCGTTTTATCAATGAGCTCGTCGAGGACTCTCTTGACTGCAATGAATCCCTCCAAATGTCATCATAGTAGGTTGGCGATGCATCACGTGACGTATTGAATAGTGTCGCGGTATTTTGTGTAAATATACACATTCCATTCAAGTAACAAAGTGAGGACTTGTAAATTGTATCGAACGTCGAACCTATATAAACTAGTTACCTACAAATTAGATATAATGCAACAAGTTAGAATTAACAAATGAATTGATTTATGTGATGGAATCATTAGAAGTAAACAAATAACAAAATCGGAATTGGAATCAAACATTTGAGGACATTGTCGTGACAATAATGAAAGAACTAAGGGCATTGTACTACTTAAGCTAGAACTCGTAATAATACCAAGACAATTCAAATAAGACAATCAACTATACATCGTCATTTGACATTGCATCTTTGGATTCCCCTCTCTATGGTGACATCATACAAGAACTTGACTTTCCAATACCTCCACTGCTCACCTAGTACTTGGAGCTCTCGATTTCTCGATAATGCGCTTGCAACTCGAGTATGAAATCTCAAAGCTTTTTCCTTACATGCGATGACAATCCTATCAGAATTGTCACTCTACCTTGATCTCTCTCCATACTCAAAGCTAAGTAAAACAGTAAACGATGGAAAGCTTTGAACAAAATTGAATTTATATTAATATAAAAAATGATTCACTGTTTAACAACTATTCAATCAATCTGTACTTAAGAAAAAAAAAACAACTAAATAAAGCTAAAAGGGAAAACTTCCCTTAAATTATCTCGTCTAGCTTGCTATTTGTGATCTTAGCTCGTTGCCAGCAATCGCTCCACATCAAGATCGACTGGAAGATGCTCACTTCAGTGAGATCCATTAGTGAAGAAAGATGATAAATGTCGTAACCGGTTTTCGTCCGGGCACGAAATATTTATTTGGCGGGAAAATTGATGTGAATAAATGGTTTTGAAAATAATTTGGGAGTCGCCATCGGCCTTTTGGGTCAGGTAGGTCGAATACCTAAAAATTATTTTTTAAAAGATGTTTTAAGAAAACATCAATTAAAAATGAACTGATCTGCGTTTATAACCAAAAATTCTTTCTTTTTAATAATAAAAAGGGATTCGTGGTCGGTTACGTTTAGGGAAGGATTAGCACCCCTACAACGCCCAAAATTGATACTTTTTAATTATAAATTGTCTCTATTATTAAAAAATTTTAAAAATTCAAAATATATTTAATTTATAATCCTATTATTTCGAAATTAAAAAAAATATTTAAAAATATCAAAAAAGGACTTCTAGGTGCCTTAAGACAGCTCTTTTCTTTGATATTGATAAATATTAATTATAAATAATATTTTAATAATTTTTGATTTTAAAATACCAGAATAGGACATCCAGTTATATTAAGATTGTCCTTTTCTTCTTCATTGAAAAATAAATATTAAAATAATTTATTTAAAATAAATATTTATTTATTATATATATATTTATGACTACATAATAAAAATATTTAAATATATAAACAAGTAAAATAAAAATACAATTAGAACTATATATTTAAAAGCAATAAAATAAATAAAAATATTTAAAATTATTGACTAAATTATAGTAAAATTAAAATTAAAAACCTAATTCATAATTAATCAAAATTATAGGGATTAAACATGCTATTTCTTTATTTAATAATTTAGTGACTAAAATAAAACTATATAAAATTCGGATATTAGATTAAAATAAATTAAAAATATGAACTCAGGATTAAAATATTATTTATTAAAATTAAGGGATTAAATCTGTTATTTATCCTAAATATATTATTTTAATATAAAGGACTAAAATAAATAAAATTAAAATTTAAAGATCAAATTAAAAGTATTATAAACTTGATTTAGTGACTAAAATGGAAATTTTACAAGTTTAGATGGCTTCGGACGGGGTTTAACTATTATTTAATTACACGCATAGTCCTTCCCGAAACGACGTCGTTCGGGAAGGCTATTTAAGGTCCATAATGGCTGGCCCGAAGGGCCAGCTCTCTCATTTCTCAGTTTACTCTCTCTCTCTAAACTGAGAAAGTTTTAAAACTCTCTCGCCTCTCTCTAGTTTCCCTCATCGGAGGGAAGCCGGTCACCGGGCGGCAGCCGTCTGCCGCCGTGACCCTCACCGCCGGCCACCGCATAAGGTGGCCGGAAAATTTTATTTTTACACCAGTAGATAGATCGGACCGTCCTAAGGACGGTTCCGGTGCTCTTTTCTCCTAAAAAGCTCCCAATCGGAGCAAATCTAAGAAAATACATTCGGTTTTCGAAGGTTGTTGGTGACGTTTGGAGGGTTCCGGTGGTCGTGGCTTCCTCGGTAAGCTTCTCTCCTCCCTTTTCTTCTATTTTTGGTTGATGGTTGTTGTGATTTGGTCTCTGTTTTTGTATCTTTTACTCTCGGTTTTGTCTCTCTGGGGTCTGTTGTTCTCCTCTCCTTGCTCGCAGATGGGGTGATGGCTTTATAGCCATCACCGGTGTGGTCATCGGACCGGGTAATAGACTACCCTTCGGTGAGTCACCGGACTACCAGTTGTGACTCACTACTAGAGTAGCAACGTGGGTGGCCATCTGGGTCTTCTGGAGGCGGCTGGAAGCTGTTGAGGCGGCTGGAAACCATTGAGGCGGCGGCACACGGGATTAGGGTTATGAAACCCTAACTGAAACCCTAAATGTTTTGGGTTTTAGTTTGATTTGGGCCGGAAATCTGGCTTGTAATTTTTTATTATTATTTATAATATTTAATGTATTTAATAATAATAATAATAATAATAATAATAATATTTATAATAATTATAATAATAATAATTATAATTATAATAATAATAAATAAATTAATATGGGTAAAAAATTAGTATCTTTAGCTGCCCCTCTTTGCTCATTCTTGTGTTAACAAGAATAGGGCAAAGATGAAAAGATAATAAAATTTTTTATCCATTTGGCTTCACTTGATTATTGTTGAATAGATTCTTCTCTTTCTTCATATGAGTTCTTCTTATTATGAACTTTCCACTGAGGATGATGTTGACCTCTTTCCTTCTGTGACAGAGTCAAAAGGTTGAATAAGCTCTTCTTATTATGAACTTCCTCTTCTTCAGATGAGTTCTTTTTATTAAGAACTTTCTCTGGAAATTTTAATCCATCAAGTGATAGATTTGAGCGAAAGGTTGAATAAATTCTTCTCATTATGAATTTCTTATTCCTCTTCAGATGAGTTCTTCTCATTATGAACTCGAACTGGAAAAGATAATCCATCAAGTGATAGATTTGAGCGAAAGGTTGAATAAATTCTTCTCATTATGAATTTCTTCTTCCTCTTCAGATGAGTTCTTCTCATTATGAACTCGAACTGGAAAAGATAATCCATCAAGTGATAGATTTGAGCAAAAGGTTGAACAAATTCTTCTCATTATGAACTTCTTCATCCTTCTTCAGATGAGTTCTTCTCATTATGAACTTTCTCTGGAAAAGCTAATCCATCAAGTGATAGATTTGAGCAAAAGGTTGAACAAATTCTTCTCATTATGAACTTCTTCATCCTTCTTCAGATGAGTTCTTCTCATTATGAACTTTCTCTGGAAAAGCTGATCCATCAAGTGATAGATTTGAGCGAAAGGTTGAACAAATTCTTCTCATTATGAATTTCTTCTTCCTTCTTCAGATGAGTTCTTCTCATTATGAACTCGAACTGGAAAAGATAATCCATCAAGTGATAGATTTGAGCGAAAGGTTGAATAAATTCTTCTCATTATGAATTTCTTCTTCCTCTTCAGATGAGTTCTTCTCATTATGAACTCGAACTGGAAAAGATAATCCATCAAGTGATATATTTGAGCAAAAGGTTGAACAAATTCTTCTCATTATGAACTTCTTCATCCTTCTTCAGATGATTTCTTCTCATTATGAACTTTCTCTGGAAAAGCTGATCCATCAAGTGATAGATTTGAGCAAAAGGTTGAACAAATTCTTCTCATTATGAACTTCTTCATCCTTCTTCAGATGAGTTCTTCTCATTATGAACTTTCTCTGGAAAAGCTGATCCATCAAGTGATAGATTTGAGCGAAAGGTTGAACAAATTCTTCTCATTATGAATTTCTTCTTCCTTCTTCAGATGAGTTCTTCTCATTATGAACTCGAACTGGAAAAGATAATCCATCATATGATGAATTTAAACAAAAGGTTGAACAAATTCTTCTCATTATGAACTTATTCTTCCTTCTTCAGATGAGTTCTTCTCATTATGAACTTTCTCTGGAAAAGCTGATCCATCAAATGATGGATTTAAAGCTTTGCTAAAAATCTTTGGAATT